GATATCATTCACAAAGAATGCAAATACGTCTGACATAACGTCATAACTCCATTCTCCCATCGGATGCAATTTTCACAGATGATGTTTAAATATCTTCATTTACAGTTGAAATATTATATTTGACAGTAACCACTGTTTCTTTCTTAATCTTCATTGGTCAGTGACTGGATAACGTTTTTCATGAGACTTGGTCTCTTAATTCATTCTTGGTTTACCATTTAGTCTAGGATAACTTTTTGTTTATGTTTGAATTCACCATAAAGTATTACTTCTTAACTTGGCCACCTTAAAAATTATTTTACAAAAGTCATCTTGATTTATCAAGAGAACGAGTCGATAGACGGACGCTCTTGACAAATCAAGATGGTAAAGTTTTCTGATAAAGAATATAAATTACATATACTCATGTACAATGAAATTTGACTGAAACAAATACGGGAATTTTGGTGTTAACGTTAGATTGTTTGGGTTAATGTTAGTATTTGGCTACCACCACAAAGTAATAATGCAGGGAAAAAAAGAAATAAGAAAGAGTTAAATTCCCGTTTTTTAATAGACTTTTTTGAACAAAGTTACTGCCAGAGAATATCAAATGAAATGTAAGCATATGAATTTATTGCAATGATAATTTTGTTAACAATTTTATTGGCTCGCATTCATATGCAAATATGTTTACAGAACAATCAATATTCCAAGGAAGAAATTTCAAATCAAAGACACTTTTACAATTGCTAACAATACAATATAAAGGTGGAAGTGAAACCCGGTACATTTCAGGTCCACGTGCATTTAAGGCAAGATTAAACTTACCAAACATAAGTTGACTCTTCACCAAGTAACCGGACATAGTGATTAACATTAAGATACATAGATTCAAGTCGCCTGGATTGTCCTCAACCAAATAGAGCTACCATGACTATAGGTACTACAGATACCAGTCTAATCCTGTTCCGTTTCGAGGCGTTTTTTATTCGTCCTGCCATTCGTGCCCAGGGGTTAAGCAAGTATTGGATTCAGAGTGCTCAGATCGAACATCCTCTTCCAATACCTCCTTCTCTCCTTCGCTTACTTCCGGGTTGGACTCTTGAGTCATAAGCCGTTGTGTTTGAGTTCTTCGGCTTTAGATGCGCACCAGTTCTATATGAATTTGGAGTTGATGGCATCGAAAGGATGCGACCTCTGTTGGCCGTTCTGACGTACTTGACAGCTGATCTGCTGTTGTGTCGTGGGTCAGGGTCTCAGGAGACGATTCAGGACTTCCTCGTGCTCCCTTTTTCCTTTTTCGGGAAACGTTCGTTTGGCTACTAGCTGGGATGGAGAGCTCTTTAAAGTTCTCAACAGAGTTTTTGACAGCCTGAATGATCTTCGAGCCAACCCTATGCCTATCATACCCTTCGCCGGAGTTGGCAGCTGTTGCAGCAATTTCTGCAACGTCCAGCATCAAGTTTAAAAAACTCTCCGCATCCCGGAACACTGGTGTGAAACCGGACCCCTTAGACACTATTGGCGGGACACTTGTTTCCAATACTGGATTCGACTTCTTTGGCTTTAGTGTGTGTTTGATTTTCTTCAACTTAGGACAAGTTGGGTCACCTGCCATGTGCCTTTCATTACAGTTGGCACATTTTGAATCCAGTGCCTTGCATGCCTACGTAAAATGCACGCCTCCACATTTGACGCATTTAGCAGCCGCGGACCCTGTCCACGTAAGGGTAGGTATTCCGGATCAGGTAGACGATTCCGATCTGTCTTGGAATATGCCCTTTCGGGAACGATTATACTACCGTTCCGTCTTCGGCTCCTTAACTTTGAATCGACGTACACTAGATACGTTATACCCCCTTTCATGAGGGTCCTCTAACAATTCCTTCTCGGAGTAAGCGGACGGAATCTGATACACAATGCATCGATCTGAGCTGACCGATTGCGGTAACCCCATCCTCGACTTTCTACCGAGTAGGCTGTCCTTTGTAAGTGCGATGTCCGCGCTTTCTCTCGCCTGGAAAGCTAAGCGAACCGATCCATTGCCTAAGATCTTGACCATTGGGATTCCGGCAATCCCCTAAGATCTAATTTCCCGACCGATTGCTGTTGCCTTACCTCCTTTGAATGTAAGTCCCTCCTCTGGCGTGACTTTGGGGAAGGTTTTTGAAGTTGGAGTACTCATAAAAAACTTCAGCCATAGTACGAGCATCAGTTTTGGGACTTTCCATTTTACCGACTAGAGTAATAGAAACGGTAGTTAAATATTATGACTGACTAGAGAGTAGAATTGAGTATAATCTTGCTGCGATCCGGGCGGATTTAACGACCAAAAATAGTATGATTTCAAAGAAATCAGTTGTGAAATAATTCACAAAAACAATTCACTAAATCACTAAGAATAATTTAACACAAAGCGGCTATCCAAATAATTAGTAGTAGTAATCACTTAAATCCAAAGAAATCAGCAACCTGAAATATGCAAGATGAATTAATAAATTCAACTCAAAAAATCACAAATAACTAAACACTACTAAGTCCAGCATAGAACAGCTATCCTAATATCGAGTAGTAATTCAACACTTGTAAGTGACAATAATGACACTAATTAGTGGAGTAGATAATTAGTCTTTACACTTTGAGTGCTCAACCAATTGAATAGAACAAAGTATATCAGCTAATCTACTTCACCGGTAGAAGTTTTTAGCAGAACTTAAACCTCATGCAGCTGACTTGAGAAAACACCTTAAAAGGAAATACCAATCATACTTCTGCCATCTGATTGAGAACCCATTCAGAGTAAATATAAAATGAGACCTACACATGCCTTGACATTTATTTTATTGACATCCAAAACCAATTACGAGATCCTTTCTAAACCTTTAATTAAACCATCAGAACTTTCGGCAACTTGGTCTTGAATATCAACCCTATTATAGATTAGATCTGAAAAGAAAGATATTTTTTATAGAATATAATGACAATGATAATTTTGTTGACAATTTTATTGGCTCGCATTCATATGCAAATATGTTAACAGAACAATCAATATTCCAAGGAAGAAATTTCAAATCAAAGACACTTTTACAATTGCTCACATTACAATATAAAGGTGGAAAGGAAACCCGGTACATTTCAGGTCCATGTGCATTTAAGGCAAGATTAAACTTACCAAACATATGTTGACTCTTCACCAAGTAACCGGACATAGTGATTAACATTAAGATACATAGATTCAAGTCGCCTGGATTGTCCTCAACCAAATAGAGCTAACATGAATGTGAGATGTTGGTTGAATTGTCCACATTAATACCACATCTGTCCAGAAATTAGGTTATAGAACGATTGACGATTTGAGTTCCGTTTCAAATTGGTCACCTGCAAAATACAACACATTCGATCAGAATAATGGAAAAAAGAAAACGACCTATTCAAACTTTGCAATTAAAAGGAACATGAAAGTCCAGTTGTAATTTTTCACGATAAATGACTTTGTAGTATATTTGCGAGCATGATAGCATACCTTTTAAGAGCTGAAGTCTCGTCCAATACAAGCAACAAGAGGTTCTGTAGCCGGGGACCTCCGTTTGAAAAGTGACTTTAATTAGTTGACACATGCAGTAAACTTAGTATCTTAGTAACCCCTGATTTCTGCTCACCTACGGTGTGAAACCAGTGGATTTAGTTTGATCAATGTTTTTCATACGACACTGAGTAGAATTAAGTACTAATTTAAACTTGAAACAAAGTTTGTTAGCTCTGGCGTGGTTAATGAACACGATGGGGTGAGGTGAGGCTATTTGTGTTGTCCTCACTTTTGTTGGTAAATCGAATTCCAATTATTAGCCCACTTTATGTGAACTGGAATATCAGCTTTACAATTATATAGCCTACTACTGATACTCTTAAAATTGTTTTTACATTGATATAAATATGAAGTTGTTGTAATACACTTTTCATCGCGAATTATCAACTGAAAATGTCTAAAAGTTTGGCTAAATCTTCTCTCTATAAACAAATCTCATAAAATTTTGAGGAACTTGAAATGCACATGTGTATCAGTCAGATGAATCCGATTTACAGTACTGTTCGTTGAAGAGTTAATAAATGCACTTGATATAACAAATTGGCCCTGAGAAGAAGTATTAATCAAACGTACTTAGTTCATTTATCAAATGGTCATCTGGTCTTATACATAAGTTGTCGTCTGCGGGGGTCTCCAAAGGACAAACGCCGTCGTATTTTGTTATGCCCCATCATTCTCTACGTGATCCTGTACTCAAGAGTTGGTTCCAAGTTCTATTGACTAACTGCTCCTTGCTGCAAGTTTCAGATTCTTCTCTATACGCTGCATAAAAAGTAGTAAAACTAAATATGAATGGTGAAAGTCAGATGAACCATGGTCCATGATATAACCTGCGCTCTGATAGCTATCGATCTATTTTGTCTATCAAGAGTCTGAAAACAGAATCAATTTTCTGAGTTTTCCGCGGGTTTATAGGCTATTCTGACTTGAGAGTTTAAGATATTTGTAAATTTACGTTGGCCTGTTATTATCAGAGATTATGCATACTTGGGGGCATTTGGTTCACCTTGATTTCACCAGCATTATACATAATATAATATCATGAAGATGTGTGTAGGTAATAAGACTAGATATGACTATTCTAGTATATAGGTTGATATTCATAATGACAATAATATAATCTGTCAGAATCAGTGACAACTATCATCCTTCAACCACTAACTATTAATTAAACAGAGAGAAACCATTGTTTATATATTGTACCACTCGTCTATTACCTACCTACATAATGTTCTCATTATCATTAATATCTTCCTTGGCATTTATTCACGAGTCGACTTCGGCTGTTTCCGTATTATGTACGTACAACTGTGATAAATGAGTTAGGTTTCAACGAGCTTTAGACTAAATCTGTAGAGCTACAGTATTTAAGCATATAATATTAGTGCGTTGTTATTTTTACACATTCAAGTTTTTTGTTTTTCTGACTAAAATGGCGGATGACATTGTATCAGTGACTATGAGAAGGAAAAATACTGCCACACCATGGGGATTCAATATGCAAGGTGGAATAGATTTAGGGTGTTGTGTATATATTCAAAAGGTAAGGCATCAAAGATTATGACACAGTTTATATGCAATTTACCTGTAAAATACATATATTTAGCTGGCATCGGCTGTAATCTGATATGGAGTTTTTAGGGACAAACCTGTTTCATAATATAGACCTACTTTGCGCTGGCATTATAATATAAATTAACACTTTAAATGTAGTGTGCTACAAACTCTTTGAAGTTTTTCTACTTCAGCTTCAACTCCAATTGATTAGTAATTATGTAGTTGTTAATAAGAATTAAATAGCATCAGTTAACGCAATTTATGTGCACTTTAACGAGGACCTTGATTCTTATTGCGATATGCACCTTGGTATGCAGGTGTAATTTTATCAGAACATCTAGAACGCACTTTATCATCAAGTTGTCTACTTGATAAATGTATAATAATTTCAAACATCACAGACAAACGGAAACTGCTTAATATAATGTCAGGATGGGAGCGAGTGAGATGACAGAAAACTATATGACTAACTGACATTCTGTGACCAAATGCCCTCCCAAAACTCCCCAAATCACCCACACAAATTCAAATGCTCAATGCAAACGGTAATTGAAGATTTCATTTTTTTTTAGTTTGAAAGGAAGGTGCATCACAAGACAGAAATTTATCATTATGGTCGTATCTATGCGTGCCTTATACTTCTAGAACTGAAATCTGATCAAGTATAGGACTATACTTATATTGTATAATAATATGTTGATGTGTAAGAAACATGTGATAACTATAAGAGAAACCTGGTTTACATCTGACATAGTGTAGACAATAACATGTAGTTCCTTATCTTAAATAATACAAATACTAACTAAATAGTTCACTCTACTCTCTACTTTTACAGGACGTAATAAAACAGCGATATCATACAAATATCATTTCAATCTGATTCATAGGACAGTGGATAGGCGCATTATATTCTTTAAATAAAAAAAAAAGATTTTCATTCGCCTTATGCTAAGTAGAATAACATTCGAGAGAATTAATAAGAGATAAACGTTTCCTGTCCATTACAGAGATAATATTAATAATTCAACAACAATTTACTTTTAAAGGTTATTGTTTCAAATGTTCAGTTATTGAAGTTTGGTAGAAAGATTTATCTTCATGATACTCACAATACAAATATATTTAACAAGGGTAAGAATTAGTTACTTGGAGTGTCATGGTCCTGTAGCAATTATGACAATGTTGCCAAAACAGAGTACGGAGTAGCCCTCCAGTGATACCCTTGACCGCTGATCTTTGAATATGACATACTTGCCATGACAGTCAACCATAGAAAAAGGACAGTACTCTTTCCTACTTTTGGGATTTGTAAGTAGCACATAGTACTAAACTATTTCCATTATATTTTACCTGTAAACGTATTAAACTGGGTTAATATCTAATTTTATCATTCAGTCTAAAATTGTGAATTAGAATGATTACATGTGCTGTAGTAATTTTCACTAGTAGCCAGAAGTAGAAATATATTTTGAAAAAAAGTTCATCTGGAAAAGTGAGTAATTAGGAACAATAAGTGTTTTATATTTATTTTCCTTTTCTCTAGACAAATGGGTCATTTTTACAAGTTAAAGGCGTTTTTAATTAAAGGAAACGTTGTTAAGGAAAGAGTACATTGACACTAAAATTTGGTCTTTTAATAATATTTATCTCTTAAACTGTACTTATCTACCTAGAGAAAACCACATGGGAAAACAAACAGCATTGAAGAACACACGAACATATTATTAGGCCTGCTAATACTTTTTATTATAACATTATAGATAGTGAACATTCCCTTCATTGTGTAATTTCAAGGTTGTACTTACATGTCTTTCTTCTGGCAAGTGAGAAAATATAAATTTTGATAACTAAGCTTTCATTATGAACCAGGAGACAGGCGTTTATCCATTCTTACATTAAATTTATATTCTAGTGTATCACAACTATCATTTGTAAACTTATTTGTTTATATACTTGTTAATCTGAACCGACATTATAAACATGTCTGTCTGGACTGTTTGTTTTATATAAATTTGTTTACTAGTAAAGTCATTATAAACTTGTTTATCTAGATTATCATGTACGAATGTGTTTATCTAGATTATTATTCATGAATATGTCTAACCAGACTGTCATTTATAAAGGTGTCTTTTGTGAACATGTTTATCCAGATTGTCATTTATTAACATGTTTATCTTAACTTTCATTAATAAATGGGTTTAGCTAGACTGTTATTTATAAGCTTTTTTTTTTTTTTATCTAGACTGTCATTTGTAAACTTGTTTATCTGGACTGTCATTTGTAAACTTGTTTATCTGGACTGTCATTTGTAAACTTGTTTATCTGGACTGTCATTTGTAAACTTGTTTATCTGGACTGTCATTTGTAAACTTGTTTATCTGGATTGTTATCTAATTTTTAAATTTGCTTACCTAGTCTTTCATTTATAAATTTGTCAAACTTACTCTCACTTATAAATGGTCTGATTGGAGAGTCATTTATAAATAGGTTTATCTAGACTTTCAGATATAAACATGTTTATCTAGACTGTCATTTATTAACTTGTTTATCTGGACCTTCATTTATAAACTCTCAATTAATGACTTCTTTTAAGGAGTAGTTATTTTGCCTATAATTTTAATCCTTTAAAAAACTGACCTCATGCCAATCTATAACAGCTGACTGAAGAACTAACCTAATATTTCAAGGCTATTCGTGCTTATTTTTTCTTTAACATAGTCTTCAGTAGTAGGTGGTTACAGTGTAAAGAACAGTGCTAAACGAATTTACTGGCACAAAATATGAACTGAACTAGATAGAAGCACGCGTTCTGTAGGTAAACCATATCATGTTACATCCTTCTACCTCTAAATCACCTGTTTACCATTTTATTATTTCAATATACGGCGAGATCAGAAGTTCATTCTGTTATTTCCGTAAACATGAGAAATACCACTGAAGACCGCTTTTAAATTAACTAAAATTTGAAATTCAACCAATAGTTATCTTTATCGTTAATCAAAGCCGAATGAAAGGCAGAAAATGGGAGAAAAACAACAAATTTAAATTGAAGTTATTTTCAAAATGTTATCACAGATTTTTACCTCTATTCATCTACGTGTCATAAGTCCTTAGTTCCCTATATGTTAAATGATATCTTTAATATATAAGTTGAACTTCGTTTTTGAAACGATAACCAAAATGGTAGTTTACTGCTCGGGCTCAGGTCGACATGTGACTGGCAGAATCGGAGAGTAGCTGAGGTTGATTATTCGACCTGGGAGCACTGGCAACTGAACAGTCTCTTTTGTCATCAGTTGCTCACGGTTTACTTTCTACAAGGAGATGGATCTTGTTGTGATTCGCAACCACCCACCTTAATATTATAGATTTACAAACCGTTTGTCTGAATGTCTTCTCCTTATCATTAGACGTCATACAAATGAGAATCAGCCCTAGTTTCTTTAGTATGAATACATTCTCTGTAGATTATCTTAGTAAATATGATTTCTAACCTTTTAATATAGTCTCCCCAAAGACACCCAAGTGGGTGGGAAAAACGTAGTAACCTACCACCCTTATTATGTTGTTCTGACTTTTATCTGATGTATATTGATAGAACAGTTTGGAGTTCTATTTACTGGTAAAATAATTAGTATTATAAAAACATTCTTGCCTATCATAATTTCTTATAGTTGATATCTATAGTCTAATGGATTCTTTCCAAAATAATACTCGTTCTGGCTCTTATCAATTACCGAACGCTTTTAAGATAATACTATATCTAAGATGCAGTGACCTTGGCCAAGAACATGTTCTTCTATTTGAATTGAAATAGGACACATTGCAGTATTGCAGCAGCATAAATATATCTTGATTGCATATGCTAAGTTCTAGTCTGATGCAACAAACTTATCATTTACCCTATATTATCATTTGTTAAAGTGAATTCTATATTAAACCATTGTGTATTATTTTGTAGGTAAATCCAAGGGGTATAGCTTATAAAAGTGGGGTTCGACCTGGTGATGCTATTTTACAGATTGGTAATACACCAGCCCAATACTTATCTCACCAAAGTGCTAAAATGGAAATAATTAGAAGTGGAAATGATTTAGACCTAATTGTTCAGAGGTAAGTTAAAACTATATTTGTTATTGCATTTGCAACCCTCTCTGAATTTCCTCTGTGATTGCTTATATCGTTCCAAGGTGGTACATACGAGGTTCAGATTTGGTCATGGACGCAGTGAATATTGAACCATCGAACAACTATCGCACACAGGATGCACATGAAAGGAGATACACGCATTGTAACTGTTGTAAAAGGAAGGTTTCATGGTTGCCGGGTTGATATTGCGCTTCGCTGCTAATATGACCGTATGTGTGCATCGAACGAATAATTTATTGATCGCTGTGTGCCAAATCGCTTCTGTCGGCACAGAGCAGTCTCATCATGTGGAATTATTTTGTATATATGAACCTGATATTTATCGAATTTATATTTTATAAGAAATGTTGTAACTCATGGAATAGTAAGTGTACAAGAATCTCGTAGTTCAGTTGAAGAAGAACCATCACCATTTCGTGGTTTCCAAAATCCTACAGTCCAGTCTCGTTCCTTTAAAATCATACAGAAATGTTTAAATTATGAAGATAGTAAGTAGTATAGACCGCTGTTTTTCTACGAAAATCAATCAAAACGTGTGGAAATCATAAAACTCGTTTGAGATCTTACCCAAATTGATAAGCATTTATAGTTATTGTCTACTCTTGCGACAACATAAGAATCAAAAATACGTTGTCTATAGATCTTGCATTGATCTCTCTTTTTTATATTGATGTAACACTTTGTTAAACGTGAGAGAGTTTATTTTAATCATTGAATATCCCATGCATCAATATAAACATGCACATAAAAGCAAGATCCACAGAAATGTATTTTAAACAAAGCATTAACTTTCTCTGATAAGAGGGTTGGTTGAAAAGGTCTAATGCTGGGGAGGATATTTCTATCGGGATGAAACTAAGTTCTACCACCATTAAGTTCAATCATTTAATTACATACGAACTGTTTGGAATTAAACTGTAGTTTTAATTGTTTTTGTACCTGACCATTTCGTGAACCTAACCATTAAAATCGCAATAAATGTTTTAAAAAAGGACAAAGTGGAGTTATCAAGACCCTCTACTGTATTGGCAAACTGCGATGACTTGTCTTCACGTTAGGGTAGCAACCATTCCAGGAAATATGACCCGGGTGCATTGCTGATCGATGATTGCCAGTGGTGTGAGCATTCTCTCAAACCATTTGGGAATAACAAAATTGTCTGCATTGCAGCATAGCATGAAAAGTGTCAAAACCTGGAAAGAGACTATGTCGAGAAAGAATGAAGACCATCGACTTTATTGAAACTTTCATTATTTTCAATGGTAACATGAACTATTTTCTGCTTTCTAGGCTATGAAGATTAGATGAAAAATAGTTTGCTTTCTTTGCCGAATATGACTAAATGAAAAACCAAGAAAGGATTCAGAAGATTTAAATTTGCCAAAGCTTCAAAGAGACCATGAACTTTTTTTTTGAGGAATATTATGTTTATATTGACTCTCTAACTTTGATTCTTTACTTTCTTTAAGATTCCGGAGTATTAAAAAGGGCTTGTTTGTATTCCAAACGTGTTGACAGTCAATTGATATATTGAAAGATAATAAAAGAATGTAAATAATAACGACTGTACATGTTTATCCACTGTAATAATTATTGTTGTTTGTATCTAATACCAACCAGTATTGTTGTTTATATTAATATATATGTTGGGTTGTTTTCTTCCGAATATTTTATACCATTGGTCAAAATAAAGTGTTGTTTTTTTTTACTTAATGTATTAATGCCATTTGAATCCTTGGGATGGCTTTTCATTCTAGGTATTCGGTGGGTTAAGATGCACAGATTGTCAAAGGGAAATATCACAGCTGTCCAACCGTTGGCTGCAAGACGATCAGAGATGTAAAGTTCGAAAAGAAATTTCAAGTTTTTACCAAGAATAGACTGCCCACTACAGCACTTTTACTCTAGAACACTTTTTACTAATAGAAATTGAATTCAAAAAATAGAAGTGTCGCTTCAAAGTCGTTTTTCACCACAGTTTGAAAAAATCACAATTTTCTGTTTTGGTTCAACTGAAATAGAAGCAAGGTATAATAAGTTTTCTTTGAAACAAAAATGATAATATTGGACCACATTTCATAACAATTCTTGATAGGCAAAAGTATCATGCACGGCTTTTTATATAATAGCCCTATATTCTAGAAGAAACCTAACTTCCGGTTAAATGGAAACAACAAAAGTTACGTTAGTTACTAAAGATAGACAATTCGGAAATACACATACAATTATATAACATATATACACAAATTCCCTACACTGCATTAATCGGTACAGGCGAGTGTCATACTCCTTCCCCATACTAAAATGGCTATAATTTGGCCAATTTTGACTCTAGAGGTATGATTTTTGTCCCAAACGAAAAGTTTATTACGTCCTACGTCTATTTCAGTCCAAAACTCAAAATTGGAATTTTTCAAAATTTCGAGAAAATCGACTATGCACGGTAGGGACTTGAAATTTAGAATATGATAACTTCAGATCCCAGCCCATATTTCCAAAGTCCAACATTACATCTCTGATAGTCAACTTGACCGCAGTAATCGGTAGAGGCTGGTGTCAGATCCTTTACCCATACTAAAATGGCCATAACTCGTGCAGTTTAACTCTAGAGGTATGATTTTTGTCGCAAACGAAAGTTTATTATGTTCTGTGTCTTTTTCAGTCCAAGCCACAAAATCATAATATTTTCAAATTTTCGAGAAAATCGACTTTCACGCATCACCATTAATTCAAAGAGTAAAATCACATTCAAAGTTACTTGCTGTAAGTATCTTGGAGTAAAAGTGCTGTAACGTAAAGACTATGCACGGTAGGGATTTGAAATTTGGAAGAGAACCATTTACGATCTATGCCAACATGCAGTCTAAATCCAACTGTGCATCTCTGATAGTTTTCGAATGGCAGCCTGTCGAAGTTCAGGTTTTAAACTCGACCTGTACAACTTGACTGCAGTAAACGGCACAGGCTGGTGTCGGACCCTTTCCCTATACTAAAACTAGAATTTCCAACTTTTGAAAAATCGACTTTGAAGTATTACCCGAATTTCTATAACGAAAATCCCTAGAAAGCTGCTTGCTGTAAGTGAGTGTAATGGAGTAAAAGTGCTGCTGTGGGCAGACTATACACGGTAGGGACGTGGAATGTAGAAGCTAACAACTTCAGATCTGTGCCAATATACATCTCTGTTAGTTTCCGAATAGCAGCCTGTCAAATTTTTGGTGTTTACCTCGTACAACTTTACTACATTAAACGGTAGAAGCTGGGGTCAGATCCCTTCCCCGTACTAAAATAGACAAAACTCGGCCAATTTTGACTCTAGAGATATGATTTTTGTCGCAAATAAAAGTTTTTTATATCCTGCGTCTATTGCTGTCCAATAGGAATTTTTCAATTTTTCGAGAAATTTAACATTGATGTATCATCCTTATTTATAAGAGGAAAATCACTCCAAAGCTGCTTGCTGTAAGTATACTGGAGTAAAAGTGCTGTAGCGGACAGACTATACAAGGTAGGGACATGGAATTTAGAGGAGAACAACTTCAGATCTGTGCCTATATGCAGTCTAAATTCCAACTTTACATCTCTGATAGTTGTTGAATAGAATTCTGTCAATATTTTGGTTTTTACCTCGACAAATGCAACTAGACTGTAGTAAACGGTAGAGGCTGGTGTCAGATTCCTTCCCCATACTAAAATAGAGGTAAAATTTTTGTCGCAAACGAAAGTTTATTATGTTCTGCGTCTATTTCAGTCCAAAGCACAAAATGAGAATTTTTTCCAAATTTTCGAGAAAAACAACCAGTGAGTATCACCCTTATTTCTAAGAGGAAAATCACTCCAAAGCTGCTTGCTGTGTAAGTATCTTGGAATAAAAGTGCTGTAGCGGACAGACTATACACGGCAGGGACACGAAATTTGGAAGAGAATAACTTCAGACCACTGCCCACATGAAGTCCAAATTCCAACTTAACATCTCTGATAGTTTTCGAAGAGCAGCCTGTCAAAGTTCTGGTTTTTACCTCGACCTGTTTCTCAAACATTTGAACAACCCGAGTAAAGGCCTAACATACGGAGCACGGTTTGCGCTGCGACGTCCTGTCCACGGTTGCGATCATAAGGACGGGACAGCGGCGTGCCTTTTAGTCGTTTAATATGATCCAGCAAAACAGGCACGGTTTTCTCGAAAACGAAATCACACTACAAAATTTCAGCTATTCGCAAAATATCACTTCGTGGACATATCCGTTCAATATCTCCAACTTACCTGTCATTCCAACTCATAAACTAATATGCTTCTATACATCACGTTTTTAACTGGATCTTTGTAATCTTGTTCTGTTGTATAATACAGATCATGGGTTTTCTTGTAGCCTACTTCTGAAAATATTTTTTTAAGTTATCTCCATCATAGTATCGTGTTTGCAACTAGAGATGGTCATGGGTCTTTCTAAAAGATCAATTGGGTTGAATTTGAATGTATGGATGTTAATAACTCGATTAAAAACTGGTTGCTGATTGTCCAAGACCCATCCAGCATTGTATAAATGGATGAAAACACTTTGAAGCAATCAGTTCGGAAAAAAAAACAGTCCAACGTATTCCAGCATTAGAAGATTTACTCATGTCGGAGTATTTCTTAAGGGCAAGCGGTCATTGATATATTGAGTCGCGTATCGGCTACTCCCTTTTGGAAGGTTACCAACCCGACAGTCAACACCCAGCTGATCCATCAAGCACGAGAACCCACTGGGAGCAAGAGCTCAAGCACCTGATCTTATTGATTCCGTGTACGCCGACCATTTGAAGATCTACACCGATGGTGCCAAGAGTAGTACAGCAACAGTTTACGGTTTGTGCATCCCAGTAAAAGGCATCCGCATTAGTAAAAGGATCCCCCCGCACTGTTCAGTGTTCACAGAAGAACTTCTTGCCATTAGGGACGCGGTAGCATGGCTAACCGTCAATCACACGGAGCATGCCGCGATTCTATCCGACTCGCTAAGCAGCCTCCAATCTATTTTTCTCACCACAACTACCAAACCAACAGCGACCACAAGATTGAATTAGTATGGGTCAAAATGCACGTCTCCATTCCTGGCAATGATCAAGCAGACCGTTGTGCCAAGGAAAGTCTGAGTCTGGAGGATATCGAGCTTGTAGAATACTTATATTCAACCAGAAATGGGCCGACATGCTACGGAACCTCGACATCGCAAGATACCTGAGAATTTTTTTGCCTTATCTTTCTATTACCCCTTTCAGGATCGTTGATCGATTTCATAACCCCCTTTCACCTAAAAATCCTACTACTTTGTGATTTTCCTTTCCATTTTGGAGAATACAGTCTTACTGAAAGGAAAAGCTTAATTTATAATTGTCCTAAAATTTTGTCCTAAAATTTTGTGCAAGATTACAACCCGCCTCTTAACCGCCCAATAGTTTTATAAATACCCCAAGGTTGAAAACCCCTGACTTAATGAATAGCATACACATGAAATACACGGATATGGACGGCCATGTTATTATGTTGTGAATTTTACCCAATGTCAACCTGTCCAGTTACCCTCATTTTCAATCAAGCGTATAATAAAGTGAGAAAATACAAAGAAAGGGATTGGACTGAAGGTGACAATTTATAGTTGAATGGATGAGAATTTGTAGATTAACTGCGTAAATCGTCTCCTGCACATTCAAAGACATATTTCACAGTAAGTTATATAATTATATTGTATACAATCATTAGCAAGGCATCTAGAGGTATCAAGTCTAGAAAGGTTTCTATAAGGTTATAAAATGTCATAAATTTATTGAACTAAATTAGTGACTTTATTTCTTTGGCTCATTTTTGCTACTTACTTTCAAAAATATTTCGAAGTATAGATTGGGGGTATATATTGTATGGATTATCTCATTATTAGGGAATTCACACACTTATACCTTCAAAATACTACTATAAACAAATAATACGAAAGTAGGCCATGGTTTGATGTGGGGCTATATTTATATTCTACACAATAGATATATAATGTCCAAAGTAAATACTTTACCTTACCTTTACCTGAATTTTCTCAGTGAGTGATAATGGATTTATCACCGGATAGATTATGTCTAATTTACATTGAAATTTAATTTAAATGTCTGTCAGAGGATGGAAAAAGTGGATTTGACTTATGTGTTTGTTTATTCATATTTTTTTCAAAGCCTATAAATATTCCATCATTTTAATAAAAGAAATAAAACAGCATCAGGGCATAATTAAAATGCAGATAGGTTATAATATCGTTAAAATGAGGGATAACAACGCCCTAATGGCATCAGATCAATGTGTCATAGATAGCTAAAACTGGTGATCATTTAGTGACTATAATATAATCCTTTCAGTGAATTTGTCATCTACCAACCGTAATATATTCAAAAAGTCATCCCTTATTTGCTTAAATTTAACAGTTTATTAATATAATGTTATGTGACTATACTAGCCACCTTCGACTTTTTTATGTTTTTCAAATTCAAATGAATAATTCAAAGATGAATCATAGCATAGATACCGTAACTATTCAACCATATCCGAAATATAATGGGGATTAATACAGATTTCAATAATAAAACTGTGGTCTTGTCCACATTTTCTTGGGCTTATAGAAAACAACTGGTAACTAAATTAAGTATTAAATGTATAAAATATTTTAAAATTCACCAATTTAGCAGACGTGCACGGCAAAGAAAGGAGCTTCTTGCATTCTAAATAGCCTATACGTTTCTAATCTGATGAAAATGTTGACGTACAAGTATATTGTTATGGCAGATGTCCACTCGTCTGTCCGATCATCCACATGCATTGTTAGCACGATAGGAGCATCTATCTGTTCATGTGAATTCACGAGGGCACAAAATTCTAGTTTACGATATTTCGGTAGGCAGTTTTTAGTTTATACTGATTTTTCATTAGATTTTTGTTCATATGTTTGACAAGATCAAAATTGTCGAATATTACCTTACCTTATCTCTCACACAGAGTTCTGTGAGCGGATAAAGACTGAAACTGGTATAAGAAAATGACAGTCATATAAACAGGATGATTCTTAACTTTTCAATAATTAGAACTGGTGATTTAATTTTGAGGTAAAAGACATTTCCGAAGATCGTTAAAATGGCAGTTAGCATTGGTGGTGTCATATCACTAGTAGTGTTTTATCTGCTCATATTGGCTTTTGGTATCTGGGCAGCATGGAGAAATAAGAGAGGTAAAAAGGCTGATAGTGAAGATACGATGCTTGCAGGGAGAAGTATTGGATTATTTGTTGGAGTGTTTACCATGACAGGTTTGTATATCATTCTTTGAACAGCAATTCGAATCATATTGATTTCATATTAAGTTTGAGTCTTGCACTGAATGTCTATTACGTATAATTTGTCAACCAGTCTGCTGAGTGTTTCAGTATAAAACTGTATTCTTTTAGATCATATTTTATAGTACAAGATACATTTTGATAAAAGTAGTTTGGGTATGTCATTAAAGAATATAAACCTTCATGAGAAGATAATATAAAGAATTGTAAATATGGTATTTTAATTAAATGATATCATTTTAAGCTACATGGGTTGGAGGTGGTTATATTAATGGATCTGCTGAAATTGTTGCTGATTATGGATTGTGGTGGTGTCAGGCTCCTGTAGGATATACTATAGCACTCTGTCTAGGTAAAAATCTCTTTTAACACTTTAAAGAACATTTTTAAAGTTGGAAACACAAACGTACTGTACTATATATATATATGGACAATTTACAAGATTGTACTATTTGAATGGAAATGCGTCATAGTTGAAACTGTTCAACTCATTCGCTTTTCATGATTTCTATGACATTCTTGCACTTCCATCAACATTTTTTATAAACGCAACAGAAGCTACAAGAAACTTGGTTAGAACTTTACTATTTTATCTTTAACGTTTTTGGTTTATAACTTATTGCCTTCACTTAGTCAACATGATGGATGCCTAAATTAATGCCATAGACGAATGTTACAGGCCTACCCCGTGACACCTTCCATAAACTACTGTATGGTGAATCAGGAATCCCAGCACTAAAGATACGCAGATATCAGCATAGGCTCACTGTCTTCTTTAAAATGATACACAAATTAACACCCTTATCTAAATATTCTTGTCCCGCCTACAGTTGCTGAAATGAACCCATATCCAAGCCGTAATGGAAATGACATCAGAACCATCCATACAAACAACAATTACTACCATGATTCCTTTCTACCCTTATCAATCCGTGACTGGAACAATCTCCCCTCTACCATTAAGGATACTACTAGCATCTCTTCTTTCAAATCTAGACTTTCATCCTTCCTACAAATCCCTCACATTCAAGATTACTTGAAGTCAGCTAAAGTATCATTAACCATATAGGTGAAGATCCTTCCTGTTCATGTGGTCATCAAATGGAAGACTCCTCTCATTATCTCTTGATTTGCAGAAACTACACTCTTCAACGAAATCAGTCAATCCACACCCTGCCTCCTGGCCTTAGAAGCACGAATATTCTCCTAAACGGAACAAATACTGCGGATAACAAAACCAACAGCCATATCTTTTCAGTGGTCCAGTCATTATAACAATAAGCGGTTTAAATAAATCTCTTTTACCTATTTGCCATCCAATCTAATATCACAAAGTGATCTCACGAACCTTTAAGCCATGTACGCCTCTAATGGTGTAATGTTTTGTACTACTCCAACCTTTCCCAAATAGCTTTGGTGATCACGCAGCAGATATGTATAGCATCTGAACACTGTCTTCTTCCTCGAACCCAGGCCAAAATCATTGTTCTCTTCTTCACTTTTCTGCACTATATTGACATAACAATATCATAAAAATGTAATTAAATTATAATTTGTAATTGTATATTTGAATGTTAAATTGATTGGTAACGGATTAGTATAAGCTTCGGCTTGTTTCTGAAACCATTGCTCATATTATGTAATTATCCATTGTAAATCATGAATAAATATTGTTTAAAAAAAAGAATGTTACGTTGTCTGGCAAGCTTTCTCATTGGTTATCAAACTCTTTTTTTTAAAGGAGGGTTGTTTTTTGCATCTGAACTGAGAACAAAAGAATATGCCACCATGTTGGACCCTTATCAAAGAAAGTATGGTGAAGTGATGGCGGCGATACTGTTTATACCTGCTTTATTAGGGGAAACATTTTGGTCTGCAGCCATATTAAACGCATTGGGTATGTTTTATTTTTCAAAATTGACCAGTTTAACATCTTAACCGCAGTAGTTTAGTTTCACCAGTAAAACGGTGGTAGATAAATCAACAAAAGACGATTTTTCATGCTTGTTCAATGCATAAAAATAGTGGTACATCAAGAATGGCTATAACAGTAAATTTTGAATGATGGAATGACTCCCTTCTATCAGTACCATCTGCAGGTTGGCGAGCAAGTGACTTAAAGAGATGGGATAGACGGTTTAATATGTTAATTCGTGATTTAAAACTATCGGCAATAAAATGTCGCTTTTTACTTTCTGTATTGATATTTTTATCATTTCCTTTTATTTCAATAGGAGGATCTCTATCAGTAATATTAGAATTGGATTCTAAAATAGCGGTTATTGTGTCGGCGGCTGTTGCTTTATTATACACCTTAGTTGGGGGATTATACTCTGTAGCTTACACAGATGTCTTACAGCTTATTTGTATGTTCCTAGGATTGGTACGTATAGATTCAATCTAATTCCACGCCCTTATAAATGAATAAACTCCACAATCATACTCTTTGTCTTAATTTACGCCCATTGTCGATGTTGTGATTTTTTTGAAACAGACTTATGGGATATGCCAAGCGCTAAAGAGCTCTGTAGATTGTTTTATGCAGTATTTTTCTTCTGTGTATCTCCTAACTGTATCTTACTGTATCTTACTGTAAACCGGTCTTTTATTAAGCTTGTAGACTTCTTGACCACCATATATAAGAGTCTAAAAAATTCACGTACTATCGTGAGATACGAATGTCATATGGAGTGCGCATTTTTATACATGTAATTAATTGTGTTCGTTTCACAGGTTATAGTCTATAGATGAAATTTTTCAGGGTCGTTTTTCCATGCCAAGTTTAGATTAGATTTAAAGTTGTTTAAAGATTTTGAATTGACCACATAGCTAGGTAATGAGTTCCAACTGTCAATGGCACGAACTGAAAAGTAGTTTATTCTGACATCCAATCTTGTGTGTGGCTTGTTCAGTTTAAGATTATGGCCTCTGGTGTTACTGTAGGTTGATATCGAGAACATGTTTTTGTCTACCAGTGTGTCTATGTTGTTTAAAAATCTGTATATCTGGATAACATCAGCACGTTTTCTTCTGTATTTAAGAGTGGGTAAACCTAGAGCTTTGAGTCTTTCAGGGTAGGTAAGATCTCTTAAGTGGGGAAGTATCTTTGTCGCTCTTCGTTGGACATTTTCAACAGATAGGCTGTCTTTTTTAACATTGGGCACCAAACTGTTGCAGCATATTCCAGATGGGGTCTGATTAGGCTTTTGTACAGGGGCAAAAACATATATTTGTCCATGTTAATGAAGGTTCTTCTTGTCAGTCCTATTAACCTGTTAGCTTTCTTTACACAATGAGATACATGTTCACTGAATTTAAGAGTGTTGTCTATTGTGATACCAAGGTCCTTTTCTGTACTGTCTTGTTGTAGTGGTTCAAATTTGGTATTGTTTTTCATGTGGTATTGGTGTCTTGAATTATTATATCCAAAATGGATTGATTTGCATTTGTCGATGTTAAATTGCATTTGCCAGGTTTCTGTCCATTCAACCAAATTGTCTAAATCATCTTGTAATTGCTCTCTATCGTGTATTGTCAGACTAGGGCCAAATAGTTTGGTATCGTCAGCAAACAGTTTCACAAAGGATCTAACAGCACTGGGGGTGTCGTTGATAAAGATGATAAATAATACTGGACCAAGGACACTACCTTGTGGTACTCCACTTTCAACACTTGACCAGGTAGATGCTACGTTGTTTAAAACTACACGTTGTTTTCTATTGCTCAGGAAGTTTTCAATCCATTTAATGAGGTTTCCTCCTATACCTATCTTCTGTAGTTTCATCAATAATCGTTGGTGCGGTACTTTGTCGAAAGCTTTAGAAAAGTCTAAATATATCACGTCTGTAGGTGTTTGTTTGTCCATGGCATCAGTTAAATAGTCTAGGAATTCTAGTAACTGTGTTGTAGTAGATCGGCCTCTTCTAAAACCATACTGTTCATCACAAAGAAGATTGTTGTTCTCTAGATGTTCCATAAGTTTGTCCTTTACTATCGATTCCAAAGTCTTGACAATCAAACCGGTGAGGCTAATTGGTCTGTAATTTGATGCAAATTTTTTATCACCTTTTTTAAAGATTGGGGTTATGTTTCCTTCTTTCCATTGATCAGGAAGTAAACCTTCTTGTAGTGAGCTGTTGAAAATGATTTCTAGTGGTGTTCCAAGTTCACAGCTGAGCTTTAAGGACTTTAGGGTGTATTCCGTCCGGGCCAGCAGATTTGGTGATCTTTAGTTTTTCGAGTTTAGCAGATACCTGTTCCTTAGTTACGGTAACATCATTTAGTTTGGGTCAATTGTCGTTGGTTTGATAAGCAGTTGGTCTATTGGTGTCTTCGACTGTGAATACACTGGTGAAGAAAGAATTTAGTTCTGTTGCCTTGTTCATATCATCGGTAAGTGTCTCGCCACTTTCTGTAGTAATAGATACGATTTGGTTACGAGTTTTGGTCTTAGAGTTTACATATCTCCAGAACTTCTTTGGGTTGTGTCGTATATCCGAGGCTATTTCTCTTTCAAATTTATGTCGGGATTTGATCTGAATAGCAGAGGCTTTGTTCCTGGCACTTCTATAATTCGCGTAATTGGTAGTGGTTTTGTTTCTACAGTATTTGTTCCATGTCTTTCTTTTGATTTTAAGGGCGTTTATAACATCTCTGCTAAACCATAGCTTGTTACTTTTTCTGTTTGGTAGATTTCGGATTTTTGGTACATACTGTGTGATCAAGTAATCAAAGATGTTTTTTAAGTAGGTCCATTTTTCGCATGTTGTTGTTAGGTTAATCATTTCATTCCAGTTGATTTTACCTGTAGTAAGTCTCATTTGATCATAGTTACCAGCATAGTATCTATATCTAGTTTGGGAAGGGTTGTCTATTGATGCTTTAGTCTTCATGTCAAAAATAAACACCATGTGGTCACTTTTACCTAGGGGAGGGTGGCTTACTACATTGTGGATATCATCTTCATTCTTGGAAAAAAACTAGATCAAGAATTGAGGGTCTTTCGTTGTTTCTGATTCTGGTAGGTTCGGTAATATGTTGGTAGAGGAAATTGTCTTGTATACATTTTAAGAACTTGTAGGTAGTGGATCTGGGTTGACAGGATGTGGATTCATCAGACCAGTTGATGTCTCGATAGTTAAAATCTCCCAGCAATAGTAAATTATTATATTTATCACAGGCGTCAGTTATTAATGTGTTTAGCTTTGAGGAGTTTTCTCGGCTGCTGTGGGGACTTCTATAGAGGCATCCAATTACCAGAGGGTCGTCGTTGGCTACGCTGATCTTGCACCATACCATTTCTTCAAACTCTGTATTGTCAAAGTCATCTACCCTATCCGCTTTCAGTTTGGTCTTTGTGTACTGTAGAACTCCTCTGCCATGAGTTAATCTGTTGTAATGTACATCATAGTTGTCTAGTTTGAATTCGACTTCATCCAATTCCCCTTTGTTAAACTTTGGCAGGACTTCAGTTAAGGCAATGACATCGGCTTCTGTTTCATTAATCAATACATCTAGTTCCAATCGTTTGTTTAAAAGGCTGTCGACATTGGTATATACAATTTTAAGCTCGTCGGTATCTGTGTTATGTACATGTGTGTGCTGAATAAAACTAGTTTCTCATTTTTGGTAGACTTCATCCATAATATAGCTTTCACTGTATATCATGGTCTCTTCATCTGTATGTACTGAATCATTATTAAGGTCCCCACTGCAAGAAATCAGTCTCTTTCTCTCTTGCATAATGGGATGTTTATTTTTACTTCTGGTAGCCAGTGGTGTGCTTGTTGTAGAGGGATTACTCAAGGATGGAGTTTGTATGATACGCTTTGGGAGTTGTATGGGATTCTGTACTTCTTCTGTGGGTCTTGCAGATCGCGCCTCACGTAAGTTTGCATACACAATCTCTCCGCCTCTGATCATGACATTTTCTCCAGTTTCGAGTCTTCTAGTTAATTCACTTCTTAGTTTCTTATAGTCATCACGCTGCTTAGGAGTATAGTCCCTTGACAGTGTCACATTGTTGTACAATCTGTGTTTACTTAAGATGTCCCTTCTATTACGATAGCCATTGAAGATTTCTCTTCGTTCTTTTGAGCTGTTTAGAATAACTTTGATTGGTCTAGTGTGGTTTGTAGCTGGTTTTCCGACTCTAATAACTGTTGTCAATTTGATATCTTTTAAACCTATAACAGATAAAAATTCAGTCAGTTTTTCAGTATCATATAGTTTCCTGTATTCAGGATTGTTAGCATTTGATTCTGGAATGTTGAATACCATCATATTGTTCTCCCTTCTCCTTTGCTCATCTTTTTCTTCCATCTGCTGCTGGACAAGAATTGTTACACGTGAATCAATATCCTGATTCAGGTCAGATGTGACTTTCTCTCTCAATTTCTTAACTTCTGAACTTATCAACTGGGGTACACTCTGTTCTACTCTATCTATCTTCTCTTTGTTGTCATTTTCAATTTTGCGCAAGTTACTGCTCATCTCACAGAACCTTGGAAAATTTTTACTGCAGACCCTACAGGTCCATTTGACAGAGTTAGTGGAATCGTTCATTATGCAATCATAAAGTTCTCTTTGGATTTTGGAACATGGCAGACAGAAGGATAGATCACACATATCGCAAATGATACATTTACAGTCACTTCCATCAAAGTTTACTTCACACATTACACAAAGTTGTGGATCATTTGAGTCACTTTCGCTGTCAGACTTAGAGTTGGGGGTGTTTAGTTTCTTACGCTTGGGTCTGTTGTCTTGGTTCGGAGTAGCCAGGTTGGTATCATCATTGAGAGACTTTGGCACCAATGTCTGCTTTCAATTTTTCTTTATTAAAATTTGATGTGTTCAATAAGACACTAGATTTGAAACAGTATCCTGGTGTTCAGAAGGTGCTACTTTTTATTTCAGTGGCTTTCTGTCCCATTTGCATTAACACATGATGCAGTTGAATCCATATCAATTAATGTTACATCTGTTTGGATAGAACCTGTTGAAGCATCTCAATCTGGTATATATATAGATGGTTTTCTTTTACTTATATTTGGTGGAATACCATGGCAGGTATGTTTTTTAAGATACGTATTTTTGCCCTTTTTCATATTCATTTTCTGTGGGAAACTACGATGGTTCAGTCATATATTGAATATGGATTATATACACATTCCAAACCGGAGCTAGTTGCTGGTCTTCACTGTCTAAGACAGAAAGGTTACACTTCCTTTTCCATAGTGTACATGCTTCGCTGCGATACTTTACAGGTGTATTTTCAAAGAGTATTGTCAGCAAGAACAGTAAATATTGCAAGAGGTTTATCATTTGCTGGAGCGTTGGGCTGTTGTATTATGGTAATTCCTGCTATTTTAATTGGTGCTGCTGGTGCTGCTGCTGGTAAGCTTCCGCTTCTTTCACACAAATTGTGATGTGGCATGATAATTACAGTGTTGTACGCTAATCAATTATAATATAATGTTCAGGCTTTTCAGTTTACGTAGGTTACATAGTTGTTCGCTTTTCGATTGATACAATCATGATACCATGGTGTAGCCTTTTCGATTGACACACATACTCTAGGCATTTGGATTGCTCAACATTGTTGCAATATTAAAGGCTAATTTAGCTACTTTATATTGCAGATTGGAATAAAACCGATTATCCATATCCGGAAACAGTAGAAACAAACTATAACATTATTCTACCATTAGTGTTGAGGTATTTGTGTCCAGAATGGGTTGGAATTATCGCCCTGGGAGCTGTATCTGCTGCAGTAATGTCCTCAACAGATTCGTCATTTTTATCCGCAAGCTCAATGTTTGCACGAAATGTATTTGGAGATCTTTTTACAAAATTTGTTGGAAATAAGGTAATTTAAGATATGATTGTACAGGATTCCAATTCTTGGAATTTCAAACCGGTTTCATGCAGTGATGCGGCTAACCAGGGCTGACAGAAAATATTATTTATCGGGATCTTTTTTGCTACAGGCTGTATATGCTAAATTAACATCAAAATTGTTTTGGCATAACTAGCAGATCTGTGAATCTAACAATCGCTTGTGTTGTGATACAGGCTGAATTTATCGATATACAAAATAAAACAGGCTGATGGAACTATCATGGCAAAATCAAATAGCAAATTGAAGACATTATCGCAAAGCTTTAATGAAGTATTTCCATTAACAGTATGATATAATAGTGCAGTATCAACAGGTATCGATTGCGTTTTATTTGGATGAAGTCAACATAGTTTGATGTAGCGCAAAACTCTGGTATGATATCCGATTTAACAAGGTATGTGCAGTAATTGTTTTTTTCAATTTTTATTTCAGCCAAGGGAAGCAGTCATATTATGGGTCATGAGAGGTGCCCAAGTAGTTATTGCAGTCACAGCGGCCGCTCTGGCTATAGAAATACAATCGGTTTATTATCTTTTTTATCTTTGTTCAGATTTAGTTTATGTTATTTTATTCCCCCAATTAACTTTGGTAATCTACTTCCAATATTCTAATACATATGGTTCAATAATGGGTTTTATTTTAGGTTTCGTGTTTCGTATATTAGGTGGTGAACCAACTCTAGGTTTACAACCAGTACTTGAGTATCCATGGTATGATCCAGAAGCTGGACAGTTGTTTCCTTTCAAAACTTTAAGCATGTTAATATCACTTGTAACTATTATGCTTGTCTCACTATTTACACATTGTTTATTTGTTAAGTGTGATTTATCTAGAAAATTTGATATTTTCAAATGCTTTGAGGAAAATGGTGATTTTAGTTATACATTTCCCGAAGGAAAGGACAACCCAGTTTTTGATGGAGGTTCTAAAAATTCCATCGTAGAAAAATATGAATTAAAACCAGAGAAAATACCAGACACAGACAATTGAAGGATTTTTCCACACATGCACACGAGAATCAAGATGGTTAATTTCCGATATCGACTATCAACAGTGCGAATAATTCGGACTTTTCTTGCGCTTATTGCTAACTGTGATCGAAGGTGTACCAGCCAAGGCTTTCTAAACTTAGAAAAGGGTCGCAAAGAGTCAAAAAGTGTTTTAGGTGCTTATGATATTGTTTCGTTATAATTCGTCATGTAGTATTTTTGTATTGTATATTTTAATACTTTCCATATACCGTTATTTCATTAAAAGGATTAACCTATTACTTCTGTGGTCTTCCTTGATATATTAAAGCAAAGTAAAGGTGTAAGGACAAAGTCAGTCACTGGGGTAGGTCACTGACCCTGCCTAAGTATATACACTCACACATAACGCAGTTGTAATTTCTCATAAGCAGTCGGAAACGGAAATCGTTGGTCGAATGTTAAAGTGACAGATGCGCCATTTTTTGACCAATCATATTTCAGAAACGGGAATTTTGTAGCTAAGTCAATAAAATTGTTTACAGCTCACCGTCGAAATTATCCGCGTTCGAAAGTTAAGAAGACGTATTTCTTGAGACACTGTCATATATTCAAAAGACATCTATAGATATAAGAAAGAAATTCGAGTTTGAGATATTTTAGAAGGAATTTTTGTATATTTCTAGTACTTCTGAAGATTATTTACATATATTCAAGACTCAAATCAGCCACACAGACCAAAATTGTGTAAAATCATTTTTCTCTAACACGTCTTTGAAAGCTCATTTGGAATTTTATCAATGAATCTTGTCTCTGTCAGGTTGATTTTTTTAACTTAAATTCCTTATTCATAACTCATTATTAGACCTTTTTCAAGTACGCGTCAATGGTTTTGTAGGTTTGTAAACTTTGACTTAAGGACATCGCTTTGGATGAGTACATGTCGGTTATCACCTTTTGATTTCGAGATAAAACCAAAATTTACAGGGCTTAAGTGTCGTACAATATGAAATTTTATCTCAGTCGTGTGAAATTTAAAGGGTTGTACTTTTAAACTGGAGTTGGGAGTTGAAATAAATTGTTTTCAGATAGCCTCCTTTCTTACACCAGTTGAAGATGAAAATTGAATGTAAACAGAATCACATAAGCTGACACTTGTACTCAAAGATGGTCAACTATTTTCACTTATTTATAAAAGCTTATCAAATTACATCTTAAAAAAAATCAAAGATTTGTTTTTTATGGTGAGTGAATAGGGCTTATAGAAAATCAACCAACTGTTTGCTTATAATGTCACCTAATAAAGGAAGGGTGGCCATAGCACTCTTTACATCATGATTGGTGATTTTACCTGAATGCTATTTTATATAGTAACAAGTCATACTGTATACAACGCGTAGTTCTAAGGAAAAGGTTAACCACATGTTCTCCAAATTAAACTAATAAGAATTATAGTTGGAGGCTTGGTATTTGGTATAGAAACATACTTTTCTTGGTATTTGATTGTATGCAGGTGGTATGGTTCAGACTAAAACGTGCAAAGTGCACCAAGGAAATGTAATTGGATAATGCTTGTCAACTTTCTTGAAAATTGTGTAATTGTGGATTTTTACTATAAATTAACGAATAAAACAGTAAACCGAGTGCTTAAATGCAAACACTTTACAAGGTAATTAGAAAGTTTAAAAGGAACAAGATTCGTCAAGTTTTATTTTTCTTTGTATATAAAAGTATACTGACTGTAAAGTGTTTGTTTGAGGACTGTATATACAATTCTAGAATTACTAAAACTGCATGTTGATTTAAAATTAGTCATTAGAAACACGATGGCATTGTTCAACATTATTAAAGCTATGGTTGTGAGATTTATCTTATTTTGTCATACATTATTAACAATTTGGAGAGTGGCATCAACTTATGGTGATATATACTACCTATTGACTTTAGCTTTAATACCATATCTTATTGAAGGAATTTATACAGTTATTCGCAGAAAAGGGATAGAATGGAAGTGGTAAGTATAGTGGAATAACTAAATATATAATATAATCGTCTTACTATTGTCTGTAACATGGCATCACCTCCATGAATTAAAAAGGATGATAATTGATAATTATGACGATAGTGGCTAGATACCTCTGATATGCGTTGGGTCGTATTGTATAAAGGTATTGTGAAAATTGATTGGAAACATGGAGGTACATGTTTTCAACCATCCTGGCCGAATTCCTGATATTAAGTAGTATATTTAAACTCGAAAATAAGCTAAAAGATAAGAAAACTACAATAAGATTTTATTCAGGTTTTTGCTGAAAGTAATATACCATTGAGGGCGTACAAGTAAAGCTTTAAAGTGTTTCATGCGAAAACTAATTTATGTATGCATCTAATTTACAACCTCAGTTACTATGGGGACCTTTTCTCAGTGAACCAAAGATAGGCTTACTCGGTTCATAGATATTCTTCAATTTTCAAGTAGGGTGACACGTCAAGTTTACTGTAAAAGCTCTTATTAATACATAATTTAGGCTATATTAAAATAAAATAAAAAAAATAAGACACCAAGCTTAATGAAAAATCGTCTAATATATTTTAACTCAATGAATGATTAAGAAAGGTATATTGAAAAAGCAATATTGAAGAACGTGATTCTCTTACAAAAACTGACAATAAATTACTTATTAGAGGATTAACGCAATAGAGCGTCATAAGATATCTATGAATATCAGTTCCGATGAAAGCAAAAATATAAAGTGCATGTTCAAGCAATTTAGCCCTGTGTACTTGTTATAAAAATAGCTTTCAGGGCATTGTAATAAACAACCACTGACAGCTTTGATTTTTAAAACGAACATTTGACAGTAGCCTACAGTAATAATCACAAGTGATCGCGAGAACAATTTTTTTTTTCAATTAAATTTCATTAAATTTCCTTCAAACATTTCTTACGAGAAGAGGGTTTATGCGAAAGTGAAACCTTTCCCAATGATTCAATGTAATTCAGCATCTTCAATCACTATCCTTTCCTCCAAATGTTACAATATTGTTGGTGGGATAAATTGGGGGCGTATTGGGCGTTTCGTTTAATGAGGAGAATATCGTGTTGTGAAACCAACGGTTAAATGTGATAAATGTCTCACACCGTTGTTCTAGGAACCTGACTTGCAATGATGGGAACCTCTTTGTAATTGAAGTTTTCAGCATGATAAATGTTACAGTAATACTTGGATTTATTTTCATATTGTAATGAAAAAATTTACTTTTGAAAGATCAGTTCTTGTCAGTCAGAAAATATATTAAACAAGATAAATAAGTAAATATTACTTTGTAAAGTATATACTGAAATAAGATGTAAACAATTAAGGAGACATAAAAATAAGAAAAACCTTAATCACTTGTTTAGATTTGCTTTTAGTATTGAGTTACTGTTCCATTAAGTTGAGTAAATTACTTTGGGACTGAATGGTCATCATTCTGGTGACTCACAATGATCATACATGGCCTTTAAGTTTGGGCATTAAAATGGTTTTGTCCATTCTGCACATAAATATGTAAAAGTGATTTTTGATGTTCAGAGCTTAAAGGCTTCTGATGCACTTTGTTACGTATATGAATAAAATTTATCTAAATTTCATGTAACCACGAAATAGGTTTCCTTTCCCAAGGATGATCCCTATAGAAAATCAGAAAAATCGAAAAATATTCAGTATGAGTTATTGCCCTTGTTCTTAAAAACGCGTTCAATCTTTAGCTTGTAACAACTTAGATTGTTCAATTATTGACAGATTTTGGTGCAATTGGGTGTGAGTGTTTGATATCACCCAAGGATGAACCCTATTGAAAATCAGAAAAATCAGAAATAATTTAGTATGAGTTATTGCCCTTGTTCTTGAAAATGTGTTTAATATTTAGCACTCTAGAAGGCACAACCCTTGATGGATTTTGACGAAACTTGGTGTGAGTGTATGTAATCACCCAAGGATGAACCCTATCGAAAATCAGAAAACTCGAAAATTATTTGGTATGAGTTATTGCCCTTGTTCTTAAAAACGCATTCAAGTTATAGACCGTAAAAACTCTAGAAGGTCCAATTCTTGACAGATTTTGATGAAACTTGGTAATATTCAGTATCGCCTCAAAAAGTTCAAAAGAAGTGTATGCAGGTTGAATATTTCATACTGGTGATTGTTACTGTACTAATATTTTTATTTAAAATCAAAGCTGCCAGTGGGCGTATATTACCTTGCCTGGCAAGCTATCTTTTTTTAACTTTATTCATATCATATTTCAGGTTGTGTCCATGTTTCGTGTTTTATTTATTAGCTACATTACCAAGTGTATGGTTGTTAGAAATTCAACGAACTAAAGATTTTGGAAACTTAAATACAACAGCAGTAGATGAGATCAGTATAATAGGAGTTAGTTATTAAAATCTTATCTTATGACATTTAACCTAATGAACGATTTTGTTTCTTTAAACTAATATATATAAACAATTGAATTTAATTTTTTAAAATTATTTATTCCTTAATGTAAAGAAAGTAAATTTAAGTGCAGTTCTTAAAAGCATTTCATACATAAAGTCTGATAACAAATTTTATCTTCGGTGTGTATAACATAGACGTAAACGCTAAATATTGAAAGGAATTCCTCATTCATAGAGGTCATAGGTCAGAAAATTCCCTATTGTACATGTAAGGCTAAATTCACCTCCATTGGTGATCCTAATGGTTCTAATGAGAGTTGGCCAGCAACCCAACAATCTAATATGGCAATAACTCTTGGCTTTGTACTTTATGGTATGATATTGTTGGTTAATATTTGAGAAGTCGAATGGAATTTAAGCCTCCTCGAGATAATTTTCGTACAAAATAATTTAATATAGAATGTACAGGCTGCAGGCATAGTTCTACTTCTATGTTTTTTTTTTATTTTTCAGTTGAAGATACCTATAGCGTTAGAATCTGATACATGGGTCTTAGTTCTCGAAGAATCTCTGTTATATTGTATGATTATTGGAAGATGGTTATTACCTCGTGGTAAAGTAAGTAGAGGGCAACTGTCAGAGCTGCTCTTTACTTTCATTGGTATAGCTTCTGATATTATGGAATTATTTGAATTATTCGAAGAAGAAGAAGTTCGAGGAAACATGGTATTAACTATATGTTTATTGGGACTGTGGTCGTGGAGCTTATTTCAATTCACAATGGTACTAACAGTAGCTTCTAAACCAATACGAATCAACCTAATAGAACAAGACAATAAACTTGTTTGTATTGAACCAAATAGTAAAGGAGGAACATCAATTGAAGTGTTCGCTACATTGGTCAGTTTATTTATGCAGGACGGACCGTTTTTAGGTTTAAGACTGTATACAATAATAAAATACAACATTATAAACTATGGATTGGTGTTTTTCACGATCAAGAACGTTCTGATTATATTACTTCTTCTGTATCGTCTTCTGATAAAGCTTTGTGAGGTGTGTTGTCCTGGAAAGGAAAACAAATCATCTATTAAGAAAAACAACGCATTAGAGGAAAAGAAGAAAAGAGATGATTTAGCTTTAACCACAGAAGAAATTATAGCAGCTTTAGTTAGTGATGCGGGAGCTATAAGAAGGCGTAGAGGTAAAAAGAACCAGATAACAGATTCGAATGTTTTGTTGAACGGTAGAAATACCGTAAATTTGAATTCCGATATAACAATGGAAACAATCATACCTAAAGATATACTTCCCAAAGAAAATAATGTTGATGAAAATAATGTGGCACAGAATGCTTCCGGTAAATCTAAAAGTCACTCAAACCAGAATCAGGAATTAAATGGGAGAATACAAAATGACATAGATAAACTTGAAATAAAAGTAGAACCAGATAGCTCCATAATCAACACATTGGAAGAAGCAACAGATGAAAAGATTCACTCATCTAGTTAAAAAATTAACGTCTTTTATTATAAATAGCATTAAAACTTTTCAAATAATAGATGTTTATATATACTGGACAGATAAAGAAACGTCTCAAAGCACAGAAAATAGTGAATTGTTTATTGAAATTTCAATAAAGCAATAGGTAATTGTCAGAAAACAACCACATTTGGCACAAAGGATTGTTTGGGTGTCTTTCCAGTTATTGCTATGACATATCAAGGTTCAGATCACGTCATCTTTATACAGATGGAGACTGAAAGTCACCATCTGGTGTGGTCACCTTGTGTTGATAACAGTCTGACATCTTCTGTACATAGATTGGCACAAACGATTTATAGACGCCTTTGGAGTCTGCGCAGAGACTCTTAGGAAAGCTGCACTCAGTTCTGCTGCTGTTGGTAGCGGTTGGATCTGGCTTTGGATGCCATCCCATAAGTGTTCTATTGGGTTTATTTCCGGGCTGGGTGAGGGTCATGGTATTACTCTGATGTTAGGCTGTTGGAGGAAGGTTCTGGTGGATATGGCAGTGTGTTTTCGGGCGTAGTTATGCTGGAAGGTGTGGTTTCTGCGTCTTGGAAAATGCGGTACAACGTGGGGTCGGAGAACCTGGTCGGTGTAATGGGCAGCTGTGACTCCATGGCCTTTGCCTGGGCTACAGGTCAAAGTTTCTGATTGATGCCGATTGCACCCCATACCATAATCCATGGTCTTCCTCGCGGGTCTCTTTCAACTAAACACTCTTCTGAAAAACGTTCACCTCTTCTTCGCCACACTCGTACTCTGCCATCTGCGGTGGAAATTCAGTACCGACTCTCTTCAAAGAACACGTGGATCCTCCACTGCTGATGTCGCCAGTGTTGTCGTTGGCTTACACACGCTAATGATGATGGGGAGTGAGCACCAGACACTTGTATGAACGGAGACAAGACAGGTTCTGGGAGGGGCGCCGATTTCGAACGGTATCAGCGCTGATGGGTTGCTGATGGTGGCCAATGGTCCGACGAATGGTCTGTGCCGCTGTGGTGAATCTGTCATGCAGATGTTGCCGCAGTATATAGCGATCAGTAATGTTGGTGGTGCTGTAACGAATCCGAAGTCTCTCAATGCTTCGTACACTACAGTTAAATGCATCGGTAATGACTTGAGCACGTTGTCCGCATCACTTTCAACTCCCACGGACAGTTCCAAAGGTTCACAACTCTTAAATCGAACGCAACCGATATTATCAGTTGCATGTCATAAACTGGTATAAAAATCATATTTTTAAAGGAAAATAACAATTTTGATCGTTCACGACTTTGTCCAAATAATCTAAAATGCGACGTTTCTTTATCTGTTAATTAAATGGTTATGGTTATGTTGTTACTAAGAGTTTCACGCTATGCAATTTAGATAACAATAAAATATTTTTAAAAAATGTAATCTATATTTTATTATATTAAATTTATATATAAACATAAAGTTATTATACATGCATGTCATAAAAGTAGCTTCATAGCTTGAAACAATTTGAAATATCACCAATTTAAAAATTCAGTGACAACTTTTGTCAATGTCGCCAACATTTTCCGCACAAACTGTCCTTAAGAGCAATTTTCTCAAAACATTTGTCTAAATATGTATGCTTACTCGTCTGGACACTTGATTCCACTTTTCATTATTAAATTAGTCTTCATTGTTGCAGGTGTTAGTAACTTTTTGTCTTGCCATGATATAACATCTGTCAGAGCCTTTTGTGATCATATATATCCCACACCCCTGAAAAATAGCCATGAATGAAAATTCAATTCGTTCATATAATTGACCTGGATGTCATATTCACTTCATTCATTTACTTGACCACTAAATATATAAATAAATAAATAAATATAATCGTGATATAATCGATTAGTAGGAAATTGGCAGATTATGATCTCTGGTATTATCTGGTTATCGATATATTGCACATTGCTTCAAGAGAGGTCAATTTCATGCCCAAATAGTTTGAACGATAATACAATTAATCTTGAAACTTAAATTCGCTGGGATATGTCAGGAAATCGCGTCTCCGGGTGTTAAGTATTCTCAAATTTTTCTTGTGGTGGTCCCATAGTCGCTATACAAATAAACCTTAAATTCTCAAAATTTTCTTGTGATGGTCCCACAGTATCTTTACAAATAAACCTTAAATTCGCTGGGAAATTCTGGGCGTCTAATTCTCTCAGCGGCATACCACGGACCCTATACAAATAATCTTGAATCTTAAATTCGCTGGGAAATGTCAGGAAATCGCGTTTCCGGGCGTCTTATTCTCAATTTTTTCCTAGTGGTGGTCCCACAGTCCCTATACAAATAAACCTTAAATTCGCCAGGAAATGTCAAAGAAATTTCGTTTCAGGGAGTCAAATTCTCTAGAATTCTCTGGACATCGTTAATCTATGCCACTAGAACTTTTTCTACCTTTTGAAGCTGCAATTGAAAAGATGTGGGTTAATATGAAGTCAAAATATTAGATTAGCTAAAAACATTTGTTTTATCTGGGCCAGCCGGCGGCTCAGAAAAAATGATAACACACTTATCTTTTCATGATTATGCATATACATGTAATAATGTAACTTAAGTAGAACCATAATATTTTATATGCTTGGGGGAGAAGTAGTGGATTGTCGTATGATTGTTTTCCATGACAAGTACATGTCTCTATTTGACATGGTTTGTTTTGATTTTTTTCGGTTCGAATTCTGGTCATCGTCTGTATACTGATAAATACTGAGAAAATTGTATAGGATTTATTAGTTATCTATACTCCAGAGAAATATTACATTATTTTGCTGGCCGATTAACCGCGGTATTTCTTTTATCATGTTCTGTGTTACTAGATGCATCGACTTAAGTTCTAACTTCTTATGTATTTACCCCAGAACAATTTGTTTTTCATAATCAGAATGTACTCTCTATCCTCTTTTTCACGATATGTGACATGAAATTAAAAACAATAAATCTTCATGAAAGTAATTGAGGTGTTAAGATGATTGACAGGGTTTGTCCTCATTTCGCCTGCACATAAAATTTGCCTACACCTTCTGTGACTTACTTTAAATACAAATGTTGTGTATACAGGTTCTGTCCAGTAACCCTTTACTGATTTAATTCAGAAAGAAAAACCGACTTTCACTATTATTATCAATCCCGCTTTTACTTCAATTTGTTCTTTATAAACGCTAATTACTATGAATTCAATGCCGTCAAGTTTATTGAGACATTGATATTATGTCATCCAACGTATTTGTTATCATTGGCAGTTTTTCATCTATATTTTGCGATGTTTTAGTCACATTTGGTAGTTGTACTTGATGATTTAGTGTTATCTTTTTTAGGTTATACAGAGTTTTAATTGCCCTACCAAAGACACTGATAAGACGTCACTTTCGTTCGATGGCTTTCATAACTTTCAAAACGAGCCCGAGGTCATTATCCGACTTATATACCGTTTCCTAATTACCAAAGATTAAATAATTGTTAAATATGTTGAAGGATCAATCGATATTATCTCGCATATGATATATCTAAACTTGCAGGAATTCAACGATACAAATTGCCCGGGAAAAAAATACTCTAATAATTTAGTTTTTAATTTTTAAAATCACTTTACTGTACGTTGTATCTTAACGATAACCAGTAAATCACAAGAAACATAAGGGAATATATTAGTGTAATAAATTATAATACTTATATAGAGCAAGAAATACAATACATAATCATGAATGACGTATAACTTGCGCTGAAACATTTGGCTTATCTTGATTTTGAACCTCCCAAACTAATTGTCAGTAGAAGATGGTCTTCCTTCAACACTTCAAATATTACAAGATCTTCAACCCATCCCTTAAAAGTAAAACCTGGCCTTCAAATGTAACACTTGTACCCCAGAATAAAGAACCTTGGTAAGATTGCGCCTTAGAATAGGGAACCTGCAAAGAGTTGGAAGGTTATTCATGAATTACAATTACAATGCAACATCGAAGAGATTTGCCGCCATAGGTTTATAATAAAGGCTCTCATATGCCATGGAAGACATCATTTTTACATTCTGCTTTCCAACAAGGCATTTGATTGATTGCCTATACATTCAACTCGCATAAGGTAGGTTATTTTTACAGATGTCGTACGACTTTGAAATAAGAAAAGCGTCTAATAATGTCAAGACATAGACATAAACAGACGCTTTTACTCAAAGATGGTCAACTATTTTCACTTATTTATAAAAGCTTATCAAATTACATCTTATTATATAAAAGATTATTTGATATTGTAAATCAACCAACTGTTACGTTATAATAAAGAAGGGTGGCTATAGATTTAGACATTGATTTAGTTACTGGAATGTGTCTCTCTCGTGTTTTGACTTTTAAAGGAATACTGCCTCGTGGAATGGACACAAAGTTTAAAGTCTCAAACTTGGTCAACAAGTGTATATTATATTCCACTGTATGCCCTTTGGGCATTCTCGGATTTACTCTGCACATTCTCGTTTATTTCCGTGAATATGCTCAATCGCTCAATCGGCATTAAGTAGTGCCGTTGGTCTACTTTCAAAACTTTCAAAACTAGCCGCATGTTTCTCATTTTTTTGTTAATTGGTAACATTGTATCCGAGATGGATAATCTCAACAATCCTGTCATTTTGTTACAAGATGACTTGCCAGATGATGACTTTAATTTCGAGTTTAATGAAAGTGGGTCTACAGACCCAATCATTAATGATGTCCGTCTGGACAATCAATCAACCGGATGTTTATCTTCTGAAAGGTCCGTTTCCGGTAATAATAATAAAAGGAGTCTAATAAAATGGCCACTAAGCCCCGTAAATGTCCTAAGCCAGTAGGTAACGCCATAATTGGTATAGAAACTCCCAAGGTTGAACACTTTGTTGATTCTTTCGGTGATACGTTTGAGGATATTTAACGAGTACGATAATACTGGTGGTAGTACTAGTAGTAGATCTACTGTTCATGTTGATAACACTTTTCATAAAGGTTGAAATCGACCGACCCAAAAGGTTTCCTAAAACTTTTAAACCAACCAATGTAGTCTCTGTTGAGAGAAATGACAACAGGTTGCAGTTTTAACAGACTTAGTTACATCTAATTATAATAATAATAAGAACAATAATGATAATTAAAATTATAATGTTGATGAGGAATAGGGCAAATCATGGCTGATCCAAATGATAATAGTTATGAACATTTTAATGATAATAATGATACCTCTAATAACAATATGGCCGCATAAAATCCTCGATCCCGAAAGTATGTATGAGGAATTCAATGAGGAGGCCCCGAATAACCCTGACCAATTTGTTATTCCCAAAATATTTAGCGGAGATCCCGCAATTGGTAACCCTACCTCTGACAGCATTGCCAACCTCATCAATATAGCCACTTCAAAGAAGGTAGAAATAGACAAATTGGCTTCCAAATATCCAATACCAGAAAACTGCATGAGACTTACTCCCCTCTTATCGAACCAGATGTTTGGAATATGTTGCCTAGGTATGCCCAAACACAGGACACGTCATTACAAAACGTTCAACGGCTTGTAGGTGTTGGGATTTCGCCACTGTTGTCGATCCTGTCGAAACAAATGGATCCATTTAGTACCATTTTAGATTTTGTGGCTACTCTTGGTAATGTCATACTGGAGATCTCTATTAAAAGGCGCTTGTATTTACGGCGTTTCATGAGCAAACGCTATCATCCTCTCTGTTCTTCCTCTAAGCCTGTTGGTGACACACTCTTTGGTCCAGATCTGTCCCAACGTATAAGGGAAATAGATCAAACCCATCACCTTAATCCCAATAAAATTATGTATAATTTCAGACAGAATAAGATCTTTCGAGGTAGAGGTCGGCCGTTCTCTTCCAAGGGACGAGCCAGGGGTCGGTACATTCGGCAGCAAAGCTACCCAAATTATCAATATCAGCAACAACAACTTTTCTTTCATCCATTGATCTCAAAGATGCTTATTTTTCGATTCCAATCTGCAGGAACATAGAAAGTACTTACGCTTTGTGTGGAGAAACAAATTGTATGAGTTTACATGTCTTCTCTTTGGCATTTCTTCAGCTCTCAGAGTGTTTACAAAAACATTGAAACCAATTTTTGCCTGTTTGCGCAAGCAACGAATAGTGTGTTCTTATTTTATAGATGATTCTATCTTCTCTTCCACATCAATAGAACAGTGTCTGAAAAATACAAGGAAAGCAGTGGATTTGTTTAATAGTTTGGGATTTAATATAAACTATCAGAAATCACAATTACTGCCTAGTCATGACTTAGACTTCTTAGGCTTTCATATATTATATTATAATAACTTATAAGGTTTATTTGACACAAGAAAAATGCAGCGAAATAAGAAAACTAGCCCTTCAGTTGCTAGATCTATTGTTTCAACCTACCATTAGGACGGTAGCCTCCTTTATTGGTCTCTGTTCTTTCAGTCGAACTGTAATTGTTATTGCTCCCATTTTTATTCATTATCTTGATAAAGGGAAAGTCAGAGAGCTTCAGGCTTCCAACTTAGACTATGATTGAAACATAATTCTAGATCTTGATATGATTTCTGAATTGAATTGGTGGGTCACAAATATTGAGAGCTTTAATGGTCATCACATCCAACCACCTCCTGTTGACTTGTTTTTAACAACTGATGCATCAACTCTGGGCTGGGGAGCACATACTGACAATGATCAATCAAGCGGTAGAAGGACTGGGCTGGACTCTATGTACCATATTAATTATTTAGAACTTAAAGCAATTTTTATTTTTTAAGTTCTTTGTGTTCACTTTTAAGAAATGTTCACATATGCATTCAATCTGACAATCAAACTGCTATTGCGTACATCAACAATATTGGTGGATCTGTTGAATATTTATTTTCTATCGCAAAGAAAATTTGGCTATGGTGCTGTGAGCGAAGTATTTTTATATCCGCCAAGTATATTCCTGGTGTTTTGAATCACTTGGCAGATAAGCTCTCTAGAGATTTTTCCAATTCAACAGAATGGAAATTGAACAGGCATGTCTTTGGTAAAGTCTGTCATCTTTTTTCAGTTCCTGATGTGGATTTATTTGCTTCTTGTTATAATAGTCAATTAGATAGTTTTGTATCATGGGAACCAGACCCACTTAGTATTGGAAATGACGCTTTCTCTCTGAAATGGTCTGATTTTTATCCATATGCTTTTCCTCCTTTCAGTTTAGTAAGTCAAGTTCTGTGGAAGATAACACAGGAGAGATTACCAAAGATGTTGTTAATAGTACCCGGATGGGAGACACAGGTATGGTATCCAATTCTACTCTCAATGTTAATAGCACATCCAGCTCGTCTTCCTGCCAGGAAATACATTTTGAGTTTGCCGTTCAGCAGAATAAACCACCCATTAGATGGGAAGAACTTTACTTGACCGCTTGTCTTGTGTCAGGAGATACCTCATTAGTAGGGGTTTATCAGGAAATGCTGCCACAAAGTATATAGTTCGTATTCGGTAGTAAATACTGCCAGATCTGCAATTGTTCAAACACTGAATAATATGGGAAATAGTAGCTTCAAAAATCAGCCTTTAGTGGCTCGGTTTATGAAGAGTTTATTTAACAAAATGCCTACAAGACCACGATACATGTTTACATGGGATGCATCAGTGTTACTGAAGCTTCTTGGTTCCATGTATCCACTGGATAAATTGTCACAAAAGGAACTTACCCTAAAAACTGTTTGTTTGTTGGCCTTGTCAACTGCACATCGATGTCCGACTTTGTCTGTTTCAGTTTAGATGCTTTTCATGATTCGGTAAGGTCATTACTCTTGGTATTAACAAGGTTATTAAGACATCTAGACAGTCAAAACCAGTTATACTCAGTCAAGCTATCAAATTTCAGGAAACCAAGCTTATGTCCTTGTAAGACCCTTAGAGTCTATATTTTGAGAACTGCAGAGAAGAGGAAATCATCTCAATTATTTGTATCATTTTTAACCTTTAGAGCTGTCACTTCAGAAACTATAGCTAGATGGATTAAATCTTGTCTGGGTATGACAGGTATTGATGTTTCACACTTTAAGGCACACTCTACAAGAGGAGCATCTTCCTCAGCTGCTTTTAATTCTGGTTGTCCTATTACAGAAATACTGAAAACAACAAATTGGTCGCACGCCACTACTTTCCAGAAATTTTGATCCCATCTTGATGAAACTTAGTATGTATGTATATATTGATGAGATTTCGGTCAAGTTTGAAAATGGTAATAATTCCATGAATGATTTCAGGGTTATTGCCCTTGATTTAGTAAAACATGTTAAATTTGGCTTGTAGGCACGATATAAATAACAGTTTTTATCCGATCCTGATGAAACTTGGTATGCATGTATCAGATATTGGTCAAGTTTGAATTTGATCATAATCGGATGAATGGTTTTTGGAGTTATGGCCCTTGAATTAATTCAATGCGTCTACTATGGCTTGTAGGCCTGATAGAGACTACATTTTTTATTTGTTTTGATGAAACTTGGTATGAGGCCTTGAAATGAGTAACAATCGGATGATTGGTCTCACATATTAAACCACTACAGACTTTGTTATCATTTCTGACAGCTGGTAGTGGGCGTATGCTACCTTGCCTGGCAAGCTATTTTTTTTTCTTTTTTCTTTTTTTTTTTTTTGCGATCCTAGGAGTAATTATACCTTTAATGGTCGGTCGGTTGGAGTTTTACGCCCTTTTCGTAATAAACAAGTTGTGTATTTTGCTATATGCCCGTTTCCTGTTTGCATTGGTTTTCAACCTGTTTGTTTATGTGTACCAACATCGAAGGCCTATTAGCTTGAAAAAAAAAACGATTTTCCAAAATATCGAAAGTTTAACTTAGATTGGATACCAGGCATTGTCTTTGGTAGTATAGAGTATTCAATGCTGCAGATTATTCTCTGAGTACTTAGAAACAATGTTAGTCGAGGCCGTGTAGTCATGTGAGATGTTAACATATTGTAGTTGGATAGGTTTTTTTTAGGATATGACACAAGTGTCAAAAGAATAGTGCAAAGTCCTCACTTGGAGGCACTTCCTTGTGGTTGAAAACCTACGGTTAACAGCTTAACGGTTGAATTAAAAAAAAAACTAGACATAACTTGATATGTATATGAATAATAGTCACCTGCTTATATAGGATAATGACCGAGGGCGAGTTTTCACCGGGGTTTACAAAGTCCGGTCCTTGGTGTTGTATAGGCGAGGACCTAGTCTTGAGGTATTTGGCCCCTCCTCTCTTTTTCGGGAGTTTTCTGATTTACATTTTCTGACATACTAACCGTTTCCTACAAAACTAATTCGTACAAAACTAACCTTAACTCGCAGAATTAAAGTACCAGCTCGGATTGGCCTCCAATCTTGCTGCATGTGGCTGCTAACAGAGCCTTGAGTGAGAATCTGTGTTGATTTCCCAGCACCTCTTGCAAAGGGAATATAAAATAATTATATACATGATAAATGTGCTAAATGTGCACTTTCCTAAAGCTAGTGGAAGAATGCCATCATGTACAGTGAAGTAAACTTGGAGCTGATTTTGATCTATTAAAAAGAAGAGATAATGATGCCATACACTGACGAAGGCTGGACACTATGATATACAGGCACCTAGTTAATAAAAAAAAATTGTGACAACCGACCAATTTTTCACTAAAGATCATACCCCAATTCCCCATCGGATTTTGGTTGAAAGGAAATCAACAAAAGCGGCGGCTAATGGCTAAAGGGTCTAGATTGCACATTTTTAAGTTAAAAAATAGATAAACGTTTGATTTTTCATTAGAAATGAAAGCCTTACTTCGGGTCATTGATCACATGATAAAGCATCGTTTAATTCCCCATAATATTTATTCCATAAGAGAAATTCTAATGTCACTCCCTCATTTACCCCATTTTCAATCAAGCATATAATGAAATTCAAAAGAAAAGTAGCCTACGTTTAGATAGTAGTATGGGTAGATGATAACTTGAAGGTAAAGAGTGTAAATCGTCTTCCTCATCATTTAAAGACTAAGTTCACGGTAAGTTATATTATAAATATATGTATAAAAGGGTTCTATAATATAATAGGTTGGATGTTATTCCTTTTTGTGCTAACACTCCAGTAATAATGTTCTGAAATACTTTACAATTCACCAATTTAGCAGACGTACTCGGCAAAGAAAGGAGCTTCATGCATTTTTAATGGCCTATACGTTTCTATAGTCTGATGAAAATGTGATGTTGACGTACAAGTACATACATTGTCATGGCCAATGTCCACTCGTCTGTCCGATCATCCACCTGCATTGTTAGCACGATAGCAGCATAACCTGTTCATGTGAATTCACGAGAGCACAAAATTTTAGTTTTCGATATTCTGGTAGGCAGTTTTTAGTTTATACTGATTTTTCATTAGATTTTGTTCATATGTTTGACAAGATCAAAATTGTCGAATATTACCTTACCTTATCTCTCACACAGAGTTCTGTGAGCGGATAAAGACTGAAACTGGTATAAGAAAATGACAGTCATATAAACAGGATGATTCTTAACTTTTCAATAATTAGAACTGGTGATTTTATTTCGAGGTAAAAGACATTTCCGAAAAATCGTTAAAATGGCAGTTAGCATTGGTGGTGTCATATCACTAGTAGTGTTTTATCTGCTCATATTGGCTTTTGGTATCTGGGCAGCATGGAGAAATAAGAGAGGTAAAAAGGCTGATAGTGAAGATACGATGCTTGCAGGGAGAAGTATTGGATTATTTGTTGGAGTGTTTACCATGACAGGTTTGTATATCATTCTTTGAACAGCAATTCGAATCATATTGATTTCATATTAAGTTTGAGTCTTGCACTGAATGTCTATTACGTATAATTTGTCAACCAGTCTGCTGAGTGTTTCAGTATAAAACTGTATTCTTTTAGATCATATTTTATAGTACAAGATACATTTTGATAAAAGTAGTTTGGGTATGTCATTAAAGAATATAAACCTTCATGAGAAGATAATATAAAGAATTGTAAATATGGTATTTTAATTAAATGATATCATTTTAAGCTACATGGGTTGGAGGTGGTTATATTAATGGATCTGCTGAAATCGTTGCTGATTATGGATTATGGTGGTGTCAGGCTCCTGTTGGATATGCTTTATCATTGTGCTTAGGTAAAAAAAAAATTTTTACACATGTTCCATCTGGGAACAAGAACATACTTTACGTTTGGATAAAAATAAGGGAAAGTGTTTTTATGACATTTAAAAACTCGGATCCTTCCGAGAGAAAACGTTTTTCTTAAATATCATAAAAACCTGAGGAAAAGTGTTTTATCTGACTAATAAACTGACAAGGAATCATTTGCTGGGTTTTTTTGTTTGAAAAAAAAACAGTGAATAGTAATAAAAAAGGGGCGTAACTCGTGCCTTCGATACTCGATAAGTTCATTAACCAGTGAGCTGGATTTGCTATATTTGAAAGACTTTGAAATTGAAATCAATAAATTTATTTTTCTTATGACTAGGTCTCAAATTCACGAATCACCTCGCCGGTTCCACTACAAATTAAAATTTCTGTAAGGCATTATGAATTTTTCGTGCAGTTCTATATTAGCCTACTTCTAGTCTAAAGACTATTTAAAAATATTCAAAACTCGAATCAACCTCCCATGGAAAAAGTGTTTATGTCGTTCGGACGGGACAATAAACCGAGGCCCCGTGCTGTGAACGTTAAAGATCACTGCGACAGTTGGAAAAGGAGCAGGCTAATGTCGCTGCCCTGGCAAAATTTTACTTATTTTACTCTGCATGGCGTTGCCCGTCTTCATTAGCCCACATGGTGCAGAAAAGTGGGACGTTACACTCCATTCATTTCATTTCATTTCAAATCAATCTCCGTAAATGAATTACCATAGCCCTTAAGATGAGAAATTAGATAATGTTTTAATAGCCTGTTTTAGAGTGACTGCCCTCGACCTATAGTTTTTGTTCAGGATTTGTCTAAGATGAGACTAGGTATGTTTATGTGGATTGATGAAATTAAGATAAGTTTGAACATCACTCAACACCAACTGGGTGTCTATTAAAGTTATTATTTGCCTATTATTTACGAAATTATATTTATATATCACCATCTTGTCGACTCGGTAAACGTCTAGTTTGAAGTTCAATGTTCATGCTCAAACAAAAACATTATTATCTTTTAATTTTTGCCGTGTTATACGTTGCCTAACATGCTATCCCATTATTAATCAAACTCATTATTTATTTTAGGAGGGTTGTTTTTTGCATCTGAAATGAGAACAAAAGAATATGTGACTATGTTGGACCCTTTTCAAAGAAAATATGGCGAAGTGATGGCGGCGTTTCTCTCTATACCTCCCCTATTAGGAGAAATATTATATTCTGCAGCAATTTTAAACGCTTTAGGTCTGTTCTTTTTAATACTGACTTGTGATTAGTTTTATTAACAATTTCAGAAGGAACATAGCCTTTCTTTTATTTCCACATCTCTGTTTGACCTTTTGTGATTTCACATAGTCTTTAGCTTTGTTATGTAGAGTTGTTTTTCTGTTGCATGTCAATCAGTATCTGTAAAAGTATGGTGTTCAGATGTATGCACTGATGTAAGCTTGTATTATCGATTATATAATGGTTGTTGACGGTTTTTCATTTTCACCGATTTCTCTGAAATCTCAATTTTGTGAAACCATTTGATACGTTCTTGAAGGATTTGTGGCACTTGTTTGGAATGTCAATCCCATGTGTTACGGTCTGA